TTACCCAGGATTTACATAATACATGGAAATATGGTTACATTTCAGCCACTCCTCTTCACGTGGTTCACAAAAGCAGTAAACTTTTTTGTTCTTACAAGATAAGATTTATCTCTGACGTAGAAACTGTAAAGCTCTTAGACTGTTGAGTAACCGAATGACAGACTTAGGTTCATTTGCTCATTAATATGATGCAGCATCTTATCTTGTCTGATGGTGAAAGTACTGAATGATTATTCTGGAAAACTCTAAGTTCCAGGGAAAAACACCACATAGCCCTGCCTATTTGGTGCGAACTTTCACACACACAATTCCAGTTATGAGAATAAAAACATGTATTAGTTATACTCGTTATCACACCAACAAAAATATATATTCAGAAGTGTCTATTGTTGATGACTGGATGATTGTGACATCATATTTAAAGGTGGGCAGTACGGTGGCGGTGGCACGTCGGAAGTGTCTGGAGTCACTTGAACATCAGAAATATTTAATTTAACGCTGGACTGTAAAAAAAAAAAAAACAATTAAAAATATTAGAAGTCTGTTGAAACAGCATTTCAACATACATAAAGTGATATATTCTGTAGAATAGATCAAACTAGCTGAAGCCTAAACAGGTCATAGCTGGTTTGAGTTAATGTGCAACTCTGACCTGCTGAAAAGTACCCAAAACCTGCCAGAAATCAGCCAATAGACAAGCGACGACCAGTTTAGCTTTTTAGATAGCTAAATAGACAGACAGCTAGATAGATGTACCTCTGCATATGACGGTGGTGGACACACTAGTTCATATGGTGGTGGTGTGAACTCAGAGTCATCATGAGAGCTTATCTCATCTTGTTCGCCTCTCTCTTCTCTCACATGAATGGGGTTGGGAATCACATAGACATGGTCGCTGTTTGACAGGTCCAGAACTGAGTCAGTGTCTGAGACTTTACTGCAGATTTTGCAGCAGTACCTCAGTATGCACAGACTCACAGTCAGACCCAGCAGTGGCGTCAGCCACGTCCTGCACATCATCAGGCATACAACCTTTACTTCAATGTATTCCCTACATACCCTAGTGAAAAAAACACATACTATTTACATTTACGTATTTATGTGCTTAATAAAAATACCCTGCAATCGTATTTGTGCTATACTAAACTGGTAGGCCTATACCTAAAGTCTATTAAATTCGAACAAATAATTTTGTGCTTAATGCACTGTAATTGTGTGGAGGTAGTGCTGAATTATATTTGACTGTGCTAAAGTGGAACTATTGCAAGTATAGGCTACTTCAGGTACACTTTAGCATTTAAAGACAGATATTATTAAAAGATCATACAATCCTTATCAATAGTGATATTAAAACAAATTTAAAGCTTAATATTAACAAATGTGCATTGTGCACAAGTAGGCTAGTACTCCAAATAAAGTTTAATTATAAGTTTTATATCAGTAAGTCTTGAGCGATATGTCAGTAAATATGTTAATAGACTTGAACTTAGTATGAAATAAACGTATTTTAAATATATGACTTTTTTAGGGTATAGAAAGATCTTATGAAGATTTTATGAATGTCGTACTTACTGGATATAGTAGAATATATAATCAGCCATTGAAGTGGCCAGGAATCTGCAGAGAAAAATTATATATTAATGTACATCTGTAAATGATCAAGACAAGTTACCTTAACTTTGTAAAAAATGCAATTGATTTAATGACTTAATGCTTACTTTTTGTGTACAGATATATGAATTTATTAAAAAATGTATAGCTGATATGGACACTGATTTGAAATCCTCTATAGTTTTTTTTATTTTATTTACTTTTGAATTAAAACTCGTTTTTTCTCTTTTTATATGGGGCTTAGTCAAAATGCTATAAGAAAATGTGTAATGAAGATTTAAAAAAATCATTAAAGGGCAGAAATTGTTTAAAAAGAAAAGCTTTTCATCCCTAAAATTAATATTTTAATTAAAAAACAAAAAATTAAATCAATCCTAAATCAATAATTTTTGTGTGAAGGATCCTAAAATTTAAAAGGCAGCTATATATTTTTAAGTGTGAAGATCCAATAGTCAAAAATGTATGTTAAAAATGTATATTTTACACACACACACACACACACACACACACACACACACACACACACACACACACACACACACACACACACACACACACACACACACACACACACACACACACACACACACACACACACAGAGAGTACAGTAATACAGTAAAAAGTAAATTATGTAGCATAAAGGGCCCCTGTAGTTCAGGTTGTCAAATGTCAAAATATGTTTTTAAAGTGTTTTTTTAAACTACATAACTACATGACTGAATTTATGTCTCTCATGATCTTAAAAACCTTTTTGATCAAAAGGCTTCTATTTTATTTGACTTTGTCGGTGAACAAAAACTGTCCACGGGAGAAATGTTTTATAAAATTAACATATTAATTAAAAAAACACAATGAATGAGTTGGAGTGGACATCAATACTGTTTAACAAACATCTTAATCTACATGTGCTTTACATAACCTCAAGCAAGTTCCTTAAAGCCGAACTTCTATTTATTCTAAATTATTTTTCCCCTCAAGAACTTAGATAAGTCAAATTAAAACTATGTAGTAAAAGTATGTACTATGTTTTCACATTGTAGTATTTGTACAAATGATATACTCACAGTTGTTATGTCATCAGACCCAAAGCAGAGGGAAGTGGAAAGTCAAAGTTAGTCAGACTGTACGTGTTTTCTAACAGTGACTGGAACTTCTGCAGAGGACTTTGAGCTGGACACTTACTGGCAGCCGTCATCCGGGGTTGGGCTTGTAAACACCGCTCTTTACATCACACAGAACTGACAATGACTTTCAACTCAGCTCATTTCCAATGCAGACTTTTAATTACATTTTTAATCAACAGAACTAGAATCAAATGAACTAATATTTTAATCTGATGTCTTATATAATAACTTTATTTTTAAATTTATATTATATCAGAGTTTCAACACATGGACAATTGTAATTATTTTATGTATCTCTTAGATTGCATAAACTAATTTGTATTAACATTTCTTTCAGTTTAAGTATTATGATTAAAGGGATAATTCGCCCAAAAATGAAAATTTTATGTTTATCTGCTTACCTCCAGGGCATCCAAGATGTAGGTGACTTTGTTTCTTCAGCAGAACACAAAGATTTTTAACCGTTGCAGTCTGTCAGTCATATAATGGCAGTCAATGGGCTCCACGACTTTGAGAGTAAAAAAACATACACAGACAAAATCAAATTAAACCCCGAGCCTCGTGACGATACATTGACGTCTTAAGACACGAAACGATCCGTCTGTGCAAGAAACTGAACAGTATTTATATAATTTTTTACCTCTGATCCACCGCAATGTCCAAATGTCCTGAGCGTGTTCACAGCATCCGGCGCATGATGTCAAATAAATACGGTTGGGCAAAAAATTCCACGTTGTCAGA